TTTTCGGATAATTTTGATTAGCAGAAGATCAGAACTAAAAAGAGACTCCACAAATCAGGGCTCCTTTACTCAGTATTATTCACTGTTTCAATCTTCTTAATAGACGTCATTTATGAACGACTCCTAACACAAATCGCATTTTTTAGGGAAGCAAAAAAAATTCTCATTCGCCAGAAAACAGGAAATTAAAGATAAACGAAAAAAAAGCAAACACGACCCAAAATAATTAAGAATTAGACGATTTACGTGTTTATTCTAGCGTGAATATGTGAGCTTTCCCACTTCCTTCATTGCACACAAAAAAAAAACTAAAATGTTAATTACTTTTGTAATGCTTCAAATCGTTAACTTTACGTATAAAAGTCATCAGCATAAGCACTATCTGAGTGAGAAGAAAAAGTTTATTTATGATATAGAATCAAGTGGAATGGGAAGGCAGTTTATATCCCACCCAGCTAAAAGGCTTTTAAATTAACCTCTTTACAAGTTTTAAAATTTATAAAACATACTTCTTCATGTCATACACAACATTTTTCGTCTGCAGGCAAAACTATCAGACTTCTTGGGATGTGCATGCAATGTTTTTGTGCATTTTAAAGGCTTTATGTCATTTTGATATAGTAATGTCATTATTATGAGGCTGTAGGATTCAAAACTTAATGATTTAAACTTCTAAGCTACTGCGCCACTTCGTACTCAGCCAAAACGCAGTTTATAGAGTCAAAACTTTATTTAGAAAGCAAAAACCGCCCAAATTCGTGTCCTGATTATCATTTTGAAAACATAATTCAAATATTAATTTTTTTTATTTCAAAACTTAAAAAACTTCCCATTAAACTTTGATAGCAACTCCAAAAGCAAAGGAAACAAAAACAAACCGATAAACTTGTTCCTTGAACTCTCAAATAAACAAACATTCATAAATATGTAAAAGTTGGATGTATGAATATGTAAAAGAGAGCAAAAAAGGGTGAAAGGTGGAAGCAGACGAGAAAGTAATAAGAAGATATGAAATAATCTACAAGAACAATCGATGGGAGCTCATAAAGCTACACTGCAATGAATTTTATGTTTTTATTTCGTCTGCTCGACTGTGATTTTTTTGTGCATCGTAAAAGAATTGCTATATGAAGCTATGATTAAGTCCAACGGAGGAAAGAAGTTTCCAATGACATTGGATGTCGCGGTTCTTAATGACATTGGATGTGCAGCTCGCATAATCTCGGCTTCACATATTTTTTTTCTCGACATGTTCCATTAATTTTAAGCGAGTGTCTGTCGTTGGAGACATTAAGATATATTGACTTTATCCGACAGTTATTCGTATGGCGAGATTTGACCTTTTTGTTAATGAAATTATTGCGAAGGACAGCTTTGAGGTTAATTTAAAGAGATGAGTTAGTACAGAGTGATTTTTATGTATTTAATAGACTTCGGAGCTGATTCTCATGGATTGTCATATTTACTTTAGAATGGGATGTTTGAGACATTGGAATCTAGTGGGATTCAAACCCACCTCATTAAAATAGGAAGGCTTAATAGAATAATGTGGTTTGATAACAAACTATTCGGTCATAGAGCTCTTACTCTCACACTTGCAGATTCAAATTCATTAAGCTCGATACCTTAGCTTGTATTCTGCTCCTACATGATAATAGGATGACTGGCCAACATACTAAGGAGTATTTGGAACCAAGTATCGTTATTTGAGTTACAAAATGAACCAGAAAGGTTAAAAATCTCTTTTTTTTGCATTCAAAAATTGAACAAATTCAACTTGAATCGACTTTTTCTTCCAGAAAACGGCTAAATCCATGCTTAATTCCAGCTCTGATCAAGATACTGGTCGCTAAATTATCAAATTCAGCCATTTTTTCATTTGAATCCCTGTCTCCATAGCTAAAATTAGCTACAATCTTAGTCGATAAATTGTAGCTTTACTGCATTATGTAGATGCACTGAATTAAATCCAACCTCATCCTTCATTTTCACCATTCCAACATCCAACTCGATAATTCCACATCTCCTTAAAAAATCCCTTTAATCTTGAAAAATGACTATTCTTAAAACGTTCATAAAACTTTCTCATCCTCGCTTCTAAGTAAAAAACTCATCATGCTGGATGCGAAATGACTTTAATTCTAAAATAAAAGTATTTAATCTCTAATCAGCGCCATCACCCGATCCATATTACAATGACTTTTATCACTTGCATCACCCCCGCAACTATAAAAAGCTAGAAAAACTTTCTCTTCGTCTCATTTTAACCTTTCACAAAACGCCGATATTTCTAATTCGATAAAAAAGTGATTTTATTGCTTTTGAACTAGAAGAAATGTCGAAAAGTTGTTAAAGCTGATTGCCATCGGAGATGCCGTCTCTTTTTCTATTCTTCTTTAAGAAAAAAATAAAGGGGGATGGTAGGAATTATTTGTTAATACTTTATGAGGCGAAAGGAGGGAAAATTTTAGCTTTTTGGGGGTATTCGTGTGTGATGTCTATTGAATGTTATGGGTTTTGACCTCCATTACTTAACCTATGTCTCGAAAACAATCTTTAAGCTAGACCCTCTTCTAATAAATAATGTACATCATTTACGAACTCCCCCTGATTTCTACTTTCACTTTTCTTTATCTGACACGCAACGATGGCAAAAAGGTGAGAAACGTCTGTTAAGATCATGTTATATTATGTTCATGTCATGTAGCTCGGGAAAAATTTAGATAAAAAAATATATTTAATATATTTTTACTGCAAAAAGGAAGAAAATTTTACAATTTTGGTAATTGAAAGAGTTGTTGCTGTTGAAATTTTTTTTTTCAAGGAAAATGTAACATCTTCATTCGTAAATACCGTAAAAATGTCATGAGTATGAAGAAATTATCTTGAGAGCTTTTTTTCACGAAAATGAACTTTCTTTTTTTTGAAGAGCAAGTCGTAATTTTTAATGGTGGAGTGGCTTTATCTCTCAATTGTATGATGAAAAATTCTTCAATTTTCATTGTCAAAAGTTGATTAAAAATCATTGAAGTGGAAATTTATTGTTATTTTATTATATTTTTGTAGAATGGGAGATTTTGGATGAGTGATTGGATTGAGATGTTTAGGAGGAATGTCAGTATATGCTGCTTCGACATTGCTTATGTAACTTTTAAGAATCAATTTGAAAGTTTAAGGAAAGTTTGCTATAAAACTGAACTTTTTTTTAATATATGTTACAAATTCAAATCTTGAAACCCGTTAATTGAGATAATTATGGGCACTTGCTATAATTTTGCTATAAAAATTCAAATTCTCAATGTTAGTTTCAAATAAAAATTGTGAAAAGCCGTTAGTTGTAGTCATAATTGACACTTGCTATAATTTTGCTATAAAATTCAAATTTTTAATAACCGTTACAAAAAAAATTATATTTATTTTATGAATTTATTGATCGAATAAACACACTGTGTTTATAGCTCCAATAACCTCAAATAAAACACCCGAATTGACTTACATTGATCAAAAGTAAAAGTTCCAAGCAAATGTACCAAAAAAGTACATTTAATTACCTCCCATTCATACTTAATTATTTGCTATTGTTTAACTACATGTGTAGAGAATTAATTGAAGTTTTACAAAAAGCTCAATTCAAGCTTTTTTTCTTTCAAACACAAACTTTTCATCTTCATTCTGACAATTTCGTTTGCTTCTTTCTCTTGCTGTCGTTATTATTTTCATCTTACTCCTCCCCATCCATGCTTCATATTCTTTTAACAGTTCAAAATGCGAAATTCTGTTCTCTTTTTGTGTGCTGTCTTGTGTTGTGAGACCGTCTAAAACATTTCACATTTCATTTATTTTCCCTTCATACAATTTCACCAATCATTTGAGTTTTCATTTTTAATCTACAATGTCCTTTTTCATCATTGAAACTTTCTTCTTTTGACTGTTCTTTTATTTTTTCCCTACTTCTTTTCGGTCGTTCTGTTTTTTGGTCCATTTTCTCGATTAAATTCTATTACATTGCGAGAATAATAGAGAGTGAGATTGCTGATTTTTTGGTTGTGGGAATGTCAAAGGTTTTGAACGCTTTTTTTGAAGTTTTTGAATTTTTTGGTTGAAGGTTTTGAACGCCGGCACATACTTTAGACAACATTGTCCTATATTAATGAAGCTATTCAGGGGTCTGTTTCTAGGGCTACTAAAGGAATCCAACTTAAGAATCAACTTTATGATATAAAACCTACTTTAACTTTGACAAGGGAAGCCTCAGGGCAAGCCCCCTTGAAACTAGCTCAGAGTTTCTACAGTTCTAGCCTGGTTTTGTATACGATTTGTAGTTCCATAAACCATCGATTGCTCGCTGTTAAGAACATGTAACTGGAAATCGTAAGACACAGGGTTCGAGTCTTACTCGGAATCTGTTTTTTGGAGTTTATTTTTCCGATTAGTTGACATCTTTGAGCGGGCTTCCTTTGATCGAACGCTTTCTAGCTTGGGCCCGGTTTTAAGGCTCCACGGAACATCCCATTTCTCAGGTCGCCTCGAGTAGCTCTAGCAACCAGCCCCTGAAACATAAAACAGAAATTTTTTCATCATTAAGGCAACAGAGATCGTCAATTACTCAATTCAATTAAAAAGGTTTAAAAAGTTATTTCAACTAATTACGACTGTATTGTTTCCAATCGATTTCATTCTCATTGCGTCAAAATTCATGCTTCTTTTTGTCAACGATAATAAAGAATTTTCCCTCAAATAAGAAATAAATTTTTTTGTTTCATTAAATTGTGTTATGTGAATGAATTTTAATGTTCAATTTTTCTGTCAATTCTAGGGCAATATCCTCATCCATTCATGACTGCAAGAAAACAATAAGAGCAATAAAAGTTAAGCGAGAAAGAAGGAATAAAATTATGAGCAATAAAGTGCTATTGATAAACATGCTTCGAATTGCTGTGAAAAAAATTTATATAAATCCATGGCAATAAATTAAGGCAGACAAAAAATTCTAAGTCTGTAAAAAAAAGAAAAAGTTTTTTTAAAAAAATAAAATAGTAAAGTCAGGCGTGATTAAGCCTGTAAAGTTCAAATGTGCATCATAGTCAAAAAATGGAACCACCACTGGCTCTTATGGTTCCTCTCCGCACTCGTTGTAAATTCAGCCGTAGCCGGAAATCCAGACGCAAAACGTCTATACGATGATTTATTAAGCAATTACAACAAACTCGTACGTCCAGTAGTGAATACATCAGATGTTCTTCGCGTTTGTATTAAATTGAAACTATCACAACTCATCGATGTGGTAAGTTGATCTAATTATGTTCATATTTTTTTATTCACCGCCAATATTCAACTCGAGGATATTCCGAGGATGGAGATAATTTAACTAATTGGTCTCATCAGTTTCGAAACAACGAGAAAATGTTTTTGGGAAATGAATAATTTAATATGTCATGAAAAATTAATTTACAGCAAGATGAGAAATTTCCCCACTTCGGAATCGAGCTTCTAGTTTCTGTAAATATTTGAGTATCTTAGGCAATATTCATTTTCAGATTGTACAAATACGTGTAAATATTCATAATTGTTGGGGATTAGTTGTTAATTAAGTGATTAAATCGGTGAATGATCTGCTTAGCAATTATGGTGCAGATTGTGTTTAGAGAGGATTTCAGAGAATTTTGGATTATTAAAGTTTTGGTAGGGGTTAACTTGGGGGAACGTGGATGGGAAGAGCTTATTGTTGATGTAATTGAGTTGTTTGAAACCGCAAGAGTGCTTAGTGGATAATTGAGAAATAATCTCAATGTGGGAATCGAACTTACGTTTTTACAAAGAAATCTAGATTGTCTACTAATCAACCTAACAATGCTTTGCTCTTGCACTAGCAGATTCGCATCTATTAAGCTTGATTGCCTTTTTCTAAGACCCAGAGCTCGAAGTCGACTCGATATTTTCATAGATTTTATGTGGCGGAGTCGACTATACAAAATTTCATCAATTTCGAGCTCTGCTTAGACCTCGTCTCAATTTTCGAAGTAGTTTATCTTCAAAACATAACTTCTAATTCCTATAGATGTCAAATAATGAAGCTTAATCCTCATTGATGCTTATTATAGCCAGAATCTCAAACTATTTCCCCTTCCTAGAGTCTCCAATGCTATCCTCCTTCTAATCTTGACAGTTTCTCATTAATCTATTCAAAACTATTCTAATTCAGTTTCCCAACTGCTAATACAAGATTTTAAAGTACACTCTATAAAATTGAAGCATCCCCAATTGAGAATTACATCCAAAAACTGTCAAATCAACACCAAATTACAATTACATCAACATGCTCTCCCCTTACACGAACGTTTAAAATCCTTTATCCTCAAAAAACATATTTTCATGACACTGTACGGGTGTCAAAAACACCGATCACGAAGGCATTTAGCCAACAACGAGTTTTTTGTTCTCATTACGAGGAACAAAAATATTTTATTTCTTATGAATTATACAGAAGAAAGGAAAGGAAAAAATGGCATTTACTCCAATGTTTTTTTCTCTTCTTCTTTTCTTTTTTTTCTCTCTTCTTTCTTTACAGAATCTCAAAAACCAGATTATGACCACAAATCTGGTAATCTCAATTTTCTTTATTTCTTTTTGAATTTTTTTTTTCATTCTTATTGTTTTTTATTATTATATTTTCATTTATTTCTGAGCTTCTTGTTACTACTTTTATATTTTTTTTCGGGTGACGATGAGGTTTCCATTTCACTGAGGCCATAAATTTCAGTTTGCTGCTCACCAAAGGAGAAATAAATAAGATGAAAAACACTTCATTGAGATGGATTGCCTCATAGCGACGTCATTCGTTTTGTTCATCGCTATATTAGTCTATGAGGGGCAGCTTTACAGGATAATTTTCTTTTGATGGATTTTTATTGTGATTTAATATTAACAATTGGGTCGTTTGCTGGTTAAAGACTCGTTTCTATTGATAGAAGTGTGCATTTTAGATAGGCTGCATCTTCTTAAGGTTGAAGATTTTTTTTTGCGTCTTAAAACTAATTAAGGTGGGGGTGTGAATGGGATTGGAACCTCACAACCCCTCACAACTAAGCTTCTTCTATGAGAAAAACTTGAATTTATTTGAAGAAAAACTTGGTTTTTTCATCCTTCCTTCTCGGTTTAGATTATATTAAAATAAGACAGCTTATAAGTCAATGGGGATGTCACCTCATCCCTCTAATATCTCCCATTAAAACTACAAAGACCAAAGTGCACAAAAAGATTGAAAATGAAAGTTTATCTCCCCAAAAATTAAAAACTTTATCAATTAATTTTCATGTTGATATTAAAACACGTGTTTAGATATTTTTTGAGGTTATATTTAAAACTTTATTAAATACCGAAGCATGTGTGCTTAGAAATGTTATGGAAAATTGATTAAACTTGAAAAAGTTTTTCACATCTGTGGGAAATATTTAAAAAAAATGTTCAAATTTTAAGGTTATGTTGTGTCGATTTCCTGGTTTTTTTAATGAATTTTGAATTGAGTAATTCAGAAATCTTGAGATCTAGATTGAATGAACTATCAGAAGTGCAATTCTTTCTGTTCGTTGTTTGAAGGATTAAGACCTCCCAACTTCAAGACATAACCTCGCAAATATCACAAAAAAATCCATCAAAAAGCCTTAAAATCATCCTGTAGACTTCCCCATCATAAAATGAACGAAATAACCAAACTTCTTATTTATTTATATCTATAACAATCTCATTGTCCTTAAATGACAATTAATTCTGACAACTTTTCCTTCTCTCACATCATCAAAAACACCCTGAATAAATTAACGGGATGCAATAAAACGCAAATCACATAATGTGCACGTGTGTATATGAATAAAAAAAAAATAAAATAAAATAGTGGGTAGAACAAAGTTGGTACGACTACAAGCTTAGATGGAATCCAGCAGAATATGGTAATGTGCAAATGTTGCATGTGCCTAGCGATCACATATGGCGTCCCGATATTGTATTATATAATAAGTGAGTATATCCTTTCAACAACACAAACTACTCTTTTTATTCTCTCATCAAGACAGTAAAAACCGTATTCGATGATCCAATAAATGACGCATTTACAACATCCATCATGTCAATATAAGAAAAAAAGGCGTCTAAATAAAATTTGATGTACATAAGAAAAGTGAAAAAATGTATATTTTGAGTAATTTTCATCTTATGTGAAGTTTATAGTCTTTTATCAAAATATAACACAATTCAGAAAGCATTGACAGTGATGGAAATAATGTAAAGACTATGCGGGAGAATAATGAACAATGAAATTTCATTAAATTAATGAAATTCTTAATTCATGATACTGAGATATTGTTCCTACATGTCTAAAACGTTTAGTACTTTCATGGATACAATTTTGATGGGATGGTGGAAATGATGTATGGATGCTTTTGCGACGGGGTGAAAGATTTATTGATTATATTGGATGGTGGATTGGATTTGTCTGGGATTTTTCAAACAGATGACGGGAAGAGGGTTTCTAGCTTCTTTTGGATCTAACATTATATTAGGAAATTTTTAAAGAGCATCATTTGGTGTTAAAATCAACGGGTGTAGCGAGGGAGGTTCAAGTTGGGTTTCAGCAACCTTTGAATCACATTAAACACAAGCATTTGGCTATGTCTATGCTGTAGAATCAGTTTTTTCTAAGTGAAGTTCAAAAGATAATGATTAGCTTAGTTAGACAATTGATTAGAACTAAGAACAATTTTTCTAACCTCAATGATCCAACCTAAAGTATAATCCATACCAAAATCAAGTTTAAATTTGCTTTAAGAACTTACTTAGCACTTAATAACTTAATATGACTTCCACCATCCAAAAATCAGACTAGAAAGCAAGTCTACATGCCATTTAACCTCAAATCTTATTAAACTTTCTCAAAAGTATCTAAAATCTCTAACCCAACCAACAATTTCCTCTCCTTACACGTCTCAAACGTTTTACGATATGTATGATGAGCATCTTAGCATCCATGACTTAACTATTAATCAATTAAAGCGGCACAGATGAATAAAATAACATAGAGATGATTACAAAAGTAATTTAAAATTTTATATCAAGATCAACATGCTGCAAAACTATGAATGATATAAACTGTATATCAATGGCAATATCTATTTTGTAATAAAATCAAAATTGAGAGGAAATTATGTAAGAATTGAGTAAAATAGGAAGACGACGACGATGCAGACGATTTATAGAGATTTAATAGAATCGTAATCAAATTGAAATTTATATATTTTTTTCTCTGTGTTTTCGTTTTGTGTGCTTGAAAAAGCTTTCAGAGCTATCCATTATGCTGATAGACTTTTTGCCTTCCTTTACGAGAGATGGAAAATATCGAGTTTTACTTTTCTTATGTTGATAAAAAAAATGAGATGACAACTTTATAAGGATTTATTATATTTTTTTTTATTTTTTTTTTCTTATTATTTGGGGGACATTTAGGGTGTGGCGTTGAAATATGTGTAATGCAAGAATATTTTTTTGTTGTGCTTCTTATTTTTGCAAAATTTGCAGACAGAAATTTTCCATTTGTTGTGTGCTTGGAAAAATTTTGTCAGATTTGACTGGTCGTTCAGATTAATTGTGTCCATAATCTTACCAATAGGTTTTTGGGATTTTGTGGTTGTTATCCCAGTGTACATGAGGCTTTATTTGGCAGTCATTTGGAAACCACACGGAGTTTAGGAGTCTATTTGTTTTCCATATGGATTTCATATGACTGCCAATGCCTAGATTGTATCGCTCGGGCATATTAAATGTGTCATCAATCGTAAGTAATAATTTATTTAAATTATTTAGTAAGAATATTCATATTTAGAACTGACAATTGTGAATAAAATCCTTTTTCCTATTTAGGAGGTGCTTAAGAATCAATTACGATATCTAAAATAATTCAAAATAAAAATAACAAATGTAAGCATGTCGTCATTAAAAAGTAAATATGAATTGAAGTAGCACAAATTATTAAATGAACTTGAATATACAAATTGATGAAGAAAACGAGTCTTAAATAATCTTGAAATTTTTAAATTATTGTCATGTCTGTTTATCACGTCATAATCATGTGGATTTTTCAAAACAGTTTACTGCAGAGGTGAGCTGAAGTGGCTCGGTGGCAGAATGGTTTAGTACTTCGGTACATAATTATTGCAATACCGACACAGCGATCATGGGTTCGAGACTGGGTATGGAAAATTTTTCACTTGTCCTTTTTCGAATCATATGTACTGGAAATGAAGCTCACAGCCTTCCTTTGTAGGCTAGAGGCAGAAATATCATCAGAGGAGTGGTTCGGATCCCACTGTAAACTTTAGGCCTAGGTTTGAGCGGGAGGTCAGGCAAACCCTCTCTCGTTAAACTATCATTAGCCTTGTAACGCATAAAACGCGCAGCTATGGATCTCTAAGGTCTGAATGCTAAAGTTTATTTTTTTTTACTGCAGAGGTGCAGTTTGACTGGCAATAGTGAAATATTTGTCCAAAGCTCCCAAGACCATGGTTACAATGATTAATATAGAGTTGTAGCTTAAGAACATTCTGAAACTTGATTTCGAATAGCACAATTCGATTAATCATTCAGAAATCAGACATTAAGTCTGGCATGGTACCGGATTTAATCATTGGAATGTATGACAATGATTATCTTCAAGAATTTAAACTTAAATATTCAACTTAACAAAGAATCAAAACAAACTTACTTTTATAACCTTAGCTGCTAATCTTCCAAAATATTTCCAACAAAAAGAAAATTTTCCCCCGTTTTTCACATCATGCAGCCAACATTTTTGATGACTTAACTTAAAAAAAAAAGAAAAACTAATAAAAAAAAGTTTCCACAATTATCGTTTAAACGATAAGAAAAACTTACATGCTTCATTTCATTGTGTTTTTTGCATATGAATGAAGCGCAAAGAAGCAAGCAAAACCATAAAGATGTCAAAAGACGATTGTGCGGAAGCTTTGCTGACAATTCATTTTTGACTTTTTAATGACGACGACGAGTGTGGAATTTTTTTTTTAAAAAAATATTATTTGGAATAGCAGATGCGGTTAAATGACAAAGTTGCAAAAATAATATTATTTTGAAGCATGGAAATGAAACCGCAGAGAATTTTAAAGCATTTTTCCATTTAATTAAATCGGGAATTTTCTTGCAGAATTGAAGAAAATTTCATGTTTCCCGCCACACTCTGAAGAGATGAGAATTCCTCATAGCTTGCGGGTATTTGCATATTAAAGTTGGTTGAAATCTTGTGGATTATTAAGATTGGTTGTGGGGTCGTTTATAAATGATGGAGGGAGATTATTAGATTAATACAATTAATTTATATTGAATGATGTTCAGCTTCAGGAGCTGGTTTCTAGACCTAGACCTGCTCTGATTTCCTTAAAAATCAGACGACATCATTTATAAACAGCCCCATAAAAGCAATAATCGTAAATCTCAAGATTTCCACCGCAAATCACTCGATAATAATTTTATATAATTTTTCTTCATTTTTATGAGAATTTTTTCATCATTTTCTGAAACTTTATCATTTTTAATTTCATTCACAATTAATTTTTATCGATGAATATAAAAAACGAAAAATTTTAATGGATCATTTGTCATTCAGCAGTGTCCAAATTGTTGACTATTGTGATCATTTGATGGGCAATTAAGAACTTTTGAGTATAATGGAGGAAATGGAAAATTTGCAGATGGTGAACAAAGTTTATTGGGAATTTTTTAAGGAAATAATGGAAGTTCAAAAAGTCGATTAAATTGACAATTATCGGAAATAGTAAATGCAATTGAATGGATTTGAGAATGGCTTTTTGAGTATTTAATTGATCTACAGAAAGAACAGATTCGTAGTAGGGGAACTAGACCACTCAAAGCGGCATAATAACAAGGTTATATCAAGAACGTCTTTAGTCAGGTGTCAAATGTAATAAAACGATAATTTCTCATGAATTTTCTTTGAACTTCCGAGAAGCTCTTCTTAGTGAATTCCTCAAAGCTATTACTTTATACGAACTTGAAATTTTCTCAAGCATTTTGATGAAATTCCACAAAAATCACCTTGATTAAGATGAATATTTAATTAAACTTGCTAACGAGGAATCTTATCAGATATCAAATTCCTTGTAATCACTTCAAGCGTTTAAATTACTTAATGATCTCAAACATTCTATTCAATATTAAGAAGTATGCAAAAATGCTTATAAATTAAAGCAACTTAAAGTTTCTAATGCCTAAAATTGATACTCAATTATCCAACATCAACGACAACATGAAACTTTTTGGACACTGCTGTAATTTTCCAGTAACAAAAAAAAGTAAATTTGATCCATGAACATATTAAGAAAACAATAGCTAGCCGATGCTGCTTTAAAAGGCACATAAACATTTGCTTTGAAGGAAAATAAATAAATTTTCTCAAATTACACGAAAGATTTTCCTCATTTTCAATCACAACATTAATCTTAACCTATTTATAATCATTTTTATGTTATTTTTTTTCTCACATAATGCCTACCGTATGAAAATATATCATAAAAATTCTTATTGTGAATAAACGAACGCAGAGAAAATAATAAATGAAAATAGAAAAAAAAATTCTCCTCATTAAGTAATGTGTTGTAAGCACTTTTTTGTCGATTAATATACTGCTGTCATAAAAATCAAAATTTTCCATGTTTTGTACATCTATGATGAATCACATCAATCAATGTAAACCACAAACACATTTAACTTGCAAGGTTCTCTGGATGAGGTTTGGTTAATTAGCTTGGGTCGAGGTTATTAGCTTGTAAAATTGGAAGAATGTTGAGAAAATAATTTTTTAAATTGATTTTAAATTCAAAATAAAAATTTAAAAAAATTTCTAGGGGCCATTCATTAATTACGTAGCCCCCCAACCCAAGGGATCTGGAATTTTTATAGATTAAAATAAAAAAAATACTTGGTAGAGCTACAAAGCTATAAAATCAAAATCCACTTAAATTCACTAGATTTTCCCACATCCAGAGATCCTGCTTCACACATTAAATATATTAAAGTAACATAAGAAGAAAAAAATGTTATTATTAGTATACCACATGTAAAATACATTTTTATATACCAAAACCCATAAAATTGTAAATAATTTTTTACTTTCATCAATATTCAAATATTGAATTTTATCTTCCTTCCATCCTTCCCCCAAAAAATCTTTTTTTAACAACCTCATCACATTCTTTGTCACTGTTGTCATCGTTCTTATACCATACACGCCAAAAATATAAATATATATCTACAGTGCTGATGGAAATTTTGAAGTAACACTCGCAACAAAAGCCACAATATACTCGGGTGGGCTTGTTGAATGGAAGCCACCCGCAATTTATAAAAGCTCATGTGAAATTGACGTAGAAGTAAGTTTTTTTATATAAAGACGAGATGTCTATACTATGACAAAATAAAGGAATAAACCAAGGGTAAAGATAGCTTGCGGCATTCTTTTTGGCAGAGTTGGGAAAGTTTTTGTAAATTTCCAAAAAAATGATTTTTTTTAAAAATATTTGAGAGTTTTTGATTTGTTTTAAATTTGAAAGATTTAATTTGAATTTCTTAAATATTTAAAAAATTATAATTTTTTTAAATACGTAATCTTTTAAATTTTTCTTCAAGTTTTTTAAAATTTTTGTTGATTTTTTCAATATTTTATATTTTTTTAAACTTCAAAAACACCTCAACTCTGCAATTCATCAGCCTCTCTTGCGAAAAATATTCCCCAACAAAAATATTTTTCTCTTTCTTGAGTCTAATGCCAGTAATCCGCAAGTGTCTTTACTCCTTGGATGAAATATGTCAGAAATATAATCAAAAATACTCAAAAGAAGGAATTTAATTTACAAAACTTTTTACTTCACTTAATATTTATCTTCTATTTTTTTCTCACTTACAAAATAAAAATTGATAAAAAAAAATTTTCATGACGCACACGAAAAAAAAAGTATTTTCCATTCGATGAGCAAACGTGCGTGTTAAAGGTGCGTGTAATGTTTCGAATATTTTATCTGATTTCTTAAAGAACAAACTATGACAAAACAGATGTTAATAATATTATTTCAATCGTTATATCAGTTCGGATCGTGGACGTACGATGGCTTTAAGGTGAGGTGACTTCCAAGATGTCACAAAAATATGAGACTTTATATTAATTATGGGACGACTACATTTTATTATAAATATATATGTTGAGATGGTGCTGGCTGAATGGACTTGTGGCTTGGGTGGGTTGTGGATGGTCTGGAGGTTGCAGTTGATTGGAAGTCTGCAGTTTACGAAAAATGAAAAATAAACTGAAACTTAAAAAATTGAATTAATTGAAAATAAGATTTTCAAAATTAATTAACTCAGAGATTTGAAAAATTATTTTTCAAACTTTTAACAAAAATCAAAAATTTTAAAAACTTAAAAAAAATTCAAAAATGTTTAAAAAATTCAAAACAAAAAATCTACAAAATTGAATCAAAAACCGCCAAAACCTCAACTAAACCTTACCCAAACAACAGTCAAAGAGTCCCCCGCCATTCCAACAAATATTTTCTTGCAAATGTTAAAAACAATTCATTTATATTTATTTTAATTCAATAAATTTCGAAGTGAATAGAAGCATTGCATCGATAGAAATTGGAATGAAATTTAAATATAAAATAAAACAAAATTTAAAAAAAATCGTAGTTAAATCACTTAAAAATTTAATCAATTAAATCATTCTATAAACCTAAGTAGATGTAGTTAAAAAACCTATAATCATAGCCAAACAAATTGATTTGCCAATTTCAAATCGCATGGAATGATTCGCATTCACTTCAGTGTCATTCCTTTTGTAAATAGTTTCACCAGTTAATGAGCAATATGTTAACCAAATATATAATCAATATTATTCAATATATACCTATATATTATATATAACCCTCAATGTTTGCAAATAAATTTCATATTTTTTGATATATAACATATTTTATAATCGTCTATGAAAATATCTATCTATTTTATTTATTAAAATCTTAATTTATTTTTGTTAAAAAATTCTTATTAATTGTTCCTTTGAATGAGGTTTGGAAGGTTTTTAAAATTGTTAAACATTTTGATTTTTGAAAATCTGCTTAATTTTTTTGAATTTGGTTCTTAATTTTATTATTAAACATTTTTATTAATAATTCAATATTTTTGAAATTTTGCTTGTTTTTTAAAATTTTAAAAATGCTTTATTTTCAATATTTTAATTTTATACTGTAAAACTTTTGGTTTTTACAAATTTTATGATTTTTTGATATTTATGATTTTTGAATTTTTATAATTTTTGAATTTTTGAACTTTAACGATTTTTGAATTTTTAATTTCAAAATTTTTTAAAATTTCATTTTAATGTTTTTTGCTGCATTCAAAACCACTAGCTTCTTATAATTTCAATACTTATATATAATGTGTGAAGGGCCCAGCCTTTCAGCTGGAGGCACTGCGATTCAAATTGAATTTCAAAACTGCACACCACAAAAACATCCACAAGCTCACAATCTTTTAAAAACTTTACCAAACTTCACCTTCAAAGGGACGTTCCTCTCCATTACTTCCATTTCTCTTATTTTTATTCATTTACTTTATTTATTATCAATGGCATATTACGTAATGGACAAGATTATTATACACAATAAAAAGAAAGAAATTCTTACAATGTCATTATGAACAGACATAATGAAATTACTTATTTATGGCTTATCAGTAGTGCAGTCACATTGTGGCTTGTGATATTTCCGAAGATGACATGGGAAATTCAATTAGAATTATTGTGAACATCTTGATGACAATTTTTGATTATTTCGAGAATATTTGATGATGATGATACGTGTGGAGATGCTTTATTGGGGATTCTTATGAGGTTTGAGGATTTTTGAAGGTTCCTTGTAATATTTGTGAAACTTTCTTAATTAAAAATCAATTATGGATGGGGTTCAGATGCTTGAATGTTGAGAATTTTAATGAATTTTTGAGGGTGTTAAGGTTTAAGTATTCTTGTAGAATTCTGCAACCTCACCCCCCCCCCCCCCCCCAAATTTCCCATTCATATCTGTCATTTCTGATCATCTCCATTAAACATCAGCATCTTCCCAAACCTTAACAATACCAAATTATTTCCGTTTTCTAACAAATTTTCTCAAAAATATCAGAACTGACAAGATGAAGAAAAGCCATAAAAGTTTCATTGCTTAAAGCCAAAATAAATTTATATATCATATAATTGCGAAATAACGAGATTTGTTTATCATGTTGAGTCTTATTCATGAAATCACAAAAGAATATTTTTCTTCCAAAAAATCATGTTTAACATCCAGCAAGTTTCCGTTGTATAATAAAGTTTATTATTCTATTTACAATAGACATGGAACATTCAAGTGTCATATTTCTGCCTTTTGTAATTGTATTTCAACCTGATACAATTTTAGTGAAATGTTTCGTAAACAGGATGATAGGCATGGCAATGGAATTGTGATGGTTTTAATGCTTTTGTGAGAATTTTGGGTCAATTTTGATGGTATACTGGGGAGAAATTGATGGTTTTAGTTGTTGGAAGTTACGTCAAGTGTCGGTTAAGGTTGTATGTCATTTTGGGATGTGGTGTAATATGGGAAGAGGCATCTGTGGCTCAAATATACAATATAAAAACTCACAAGATTGAAATTGTCCATAACCTTAGCTACACCACCGTTTCTTAGACACTAATGAGCAATAATCATCAAAACTCTTATTTAATCTTTAATAGGACTTGAACCTTCATCCATCACTCTAATTTTTATCGACTAGTTCCCATTTAACCCCCCATCAAATTAGTAGCTACACAAATTTCAAAATTATCATACTAAGATCCAAACCAAAGTCAAACACAAAAGTCATTACCACAACAATCTCTTCCAAAACAAGCATAAGTGATGCCAAAGAAAACCGCACAAAATATTCCTAGAAATTTCTATTGTGAAAATCATAAAGACTTAATGATAATCTAATGTACGTAATAATCTTACTCCATTGTATGCCTGAATAAGTTTACAACATATTAATGTTACTTCTGTTTCTTCAATTCCATTCCGAATGAGATAATTTTTACTTCTTTTATTTTATTATTTTATTTAAAGTTTATTTACTTTTGAGAACATTTTTTTTGAAGATCATCAGATATGTTTATTAACCCTTCATGCTCAAAACCCTATTCTCTTGCTTTTATGCTACATTCACCCACCAACCAAACCACCCTCTCTATCTTTATCTATCTCCTATCACCTCTCATCCAAAAATATATATTTTAGAAAAACTGCAGACAGACATAGAAAAAATAAACAATAAGAATAAGAAGAAGTAAAAATGATAATCTTATGTAATTTTTCTTATTTTTTATACAATATTGATAACTTAAGGATCAATTCTATTGTGTCTGTCTTATTTAATCCTCCCCTCATTTTTATATCCCGAGTGACACATGATGGCAATGACATTCTTATAGCTGATGTGGTGTAAAAACTCATCTCTGTGACGCATCATGTGCTTAGTCATTTTTATGTCACATATGTTATGCCACATGTCAAATGACAGTCCATTTGACACGCTACTTGACAGTTCAATGTGACTCGTCACTTTAATGTCGTGTGTAACATGAAACTTATACGCAACAAGCATTGATTCTCACAAGCTTGTCATATGTGACATGTTACTTTAATGTTGCATGTGACATTTGACGTGAATATCACATGCAACATGTCACTAGCAAGTTACACGTGGCATGCCACTTGTATGCGACATCACACATGACAGTAAAACACTAGAGTTTTACATGTGACATGCTACTTAACTTCAAAGAATCAGTCATAAGACAACCATAAGAAAGCAATGTAACAGCCACAATCCATCATGTGTCGCTCGGGTTTCTTTAGCAAAATAACTCCCCCATATCTATGTTATATATTATATATTTTTACTTAATTCCAAGTTTCACATATTTGTATATAAAAATGCCACAACATAGCCAAATGAAAGCTTGTGTTCCATTCACCATTTTCACCCTTACCCCCACCAGTTAATAGTTTTGTAATTGTAAAGTTATCTAACATATAAGAAAATTTTGTTACCAAACAACTGTTTTTTTTTTTCTTTTAAAAACATAGAACCAAAATAACATATTATTGTGTGCTTTTTATTCTCCCATCATCATATATTGTGAATGTTTTCTTTCGCCTTGAAGCACAACAGTAAGATGAACAGAACAAAAATAAATTTGAAAAGGAACAAAAAAAAATTTATGAAAAGAAATAAGCAAAATGAGAGAACATATCTATTTGTAGTTAAAAAGGAAAGATTATAATGAGACAGTTTAGTATTAAATGCGTTTAAATAAGCTATATAAATTTGTACAATAGTTCCGCAGGGTTGGTGAGGTGATGTGTCAAGTGTTGATCACGAAACATGATTCTTTTGTCATGTTTAAATTTTTCAACAAATGCTAAATGTCTCAAATAAGGTGGAGAATTTTATCGACTACATCATGTAATCCCATGGCGAATTGACTCGACGCACGTAAATTCTGATGTTAAATTTTTTATGGGAGCTTTTTGTCACTATTGAGCTTGGGAAAGGATGCCAAAAAACACGTTTAGATTTACATGAGGGGACAATAGATTTAGTCATGCATACTTATTTTACTGCTGGTATTATTTTGAAATTTTTTAAGGTTGTCGGAAATTGTTTTTATGTCCATGTACCTCCTTATGTCCATGATTATGTCTGATTTCATTCCATGACTTTACAGCTAGACTAATCTTTATCTTAGAGCTTCAATTAGTCGTGTTATGCGTTTCATTTCGTATTATTGGTTATGGCTAGGGTGACCATCTGCGTAGTTTTACAACGGACAGTTCTGTATTTCAAAACCCTGTCCTGTATAAATTTGAAAATTTTGTTCCAGGTCCTGTATTTTTTTCACGAAAATTTCCGTTAATTTTCAAATTTTCCTTTGTGTCCTGTATTTTTTAGGAAATTTGTCAAATGTCCTGTATTTTCATAAAAATTAGATGGTCACCCTAGTTATGGCCGTTTCGAAGTTGTTTCTTAGTCTGTTCCTT